TGCTGAATTGCTGAATTTCCTATGATTGTTGGCTGATTTGAATTAAGAAAATTATCAATCACTCACTTCATCTTTGACGGCTGATCGCAAAAGATTGATGTGTTTTTGATCAGTTTCAGATATCTTTTCGATCATTTCGATACGTTTTTGCCAACTGATCAAGTAAAATTGTTACAATAGGTTTTCGGATTTTTCACAGATCTGTTGGCTGAAAACTTCATTAGAACACGATTCCAAAACACAATTATTTCATATGAACGTGAACAATACCATTCAGGTGGAAAATTATTTCGGCGAATAGGAATGAGAACTAATTGACAATTTTAATGTGAATTGTTTGCAGTTAGGAATATTTCTTTGACATTTCTGATAGATTGATGCGATAATCGTGAACCACAAAGTGCATACAGGTTTTCTTTAATCTATTGCAATGCGTTATAAACAAATAAACGAATATGAGAACTGGAAAGTGTCAGTTTTACCCTCAATTCCATTAACAAATCAGATATCTCATCCATTTTGCACGTTTGCAACCCTACAAATCATTAACGCTGCAAATTTTTTTTGGGCGAACGTTATGCAAATGTTGCAAATGCAAATGCAAATGTGTGCGAATGTGCAAATTCAACGTTACAAATGTGCGTTAATTGGTTCAATTTGCTGTTGAGCTCGAAAATTTTCACTTAAACGAAACAAAATGAATGCCAGCCATGAATATACGAATAAGCAATCACATAGAGGGGATTTCACACACTATAAAAGAGTTTGTTCGGTTGAAAAAACGCTTAGCGCAATAATGGTTGCGGATCGTAAGGTATAACACAAGTGAATAGTACTAAGATGTGTTCGAATGATAACAGGTTGTATGCAGCAAATATTATGATGAAAACACTATGGACGTGGTGAGCGAGCAGTCTGAGTTTAATTGAAGTGCATCTAACAATAGGCAGCATTTTTTCTTCATAAAACATCGGGAATGATTGGAATTTGAGGTGACAGTTGACTGTCGAGTGACTATTAAAGTTATGGTTGAATATTAAAGTTGAATTGAGTGGATAAACGACGATTGAAACGGCGCAGATATGGACGAGTGAAAAGATCAGCAATTCGTATGGGAAGAAGATGTTTAAAATGACTGCCACTCGAACGCGATCATCAAAACAGAATCGATGGGGTCATCCAATAATACACTGAACACAGTCCATTGCACATGCACACTCAGAGCAACACGTATCATGCAATCACATACAATCAGAACAACCGCAATGAGAAGTACCGTCATGCAACCAACCTTGAGCAAGCGAAAATATCACTCAAACAAGTTGTTGAAGTGTTCTGTCACAAGGCTTGATTACAAAATGCACCCAAAACATCATACGAAATGATTTATTATGGTAACATCAATTGAACATATGTGTCTATCAAGTTGTGACGACTGGACGAGATCCGACGAGACTGCCCGTTTCCGTTCTCTGATCTTTTGTCACTTGAAACAATCATTCCCCTTAGCATATCTTCTGTAGGATCGACAAATTGTTGTAACAGCACACAAAAGAACATGTTTTCGATTAGAATCAAATGTCCTCTGATGGGATTCGTAATGATTTGAAATGTTAGTAAAGGATGTGGTTGAGTTAATTCAATCGAAGGAATTCAAACCATTGGACGAATAACCTGTTTTCAGGCATCTTTTGAAATGATGCAAACGTTTAGTTTGAAAAGCCAAAAAAGGACAAAAATAACGAATTTTGTTGTTGAAAATAGATTGTGTCTTTGATTTTATAAATTTTATGACTGAATTGAATGAAAATGAGCGAAGCAGTCAGTTACATACTCGTTGTAAAATGGTTTTTCAGTGTTTCACTTTAATTAGTCATCGAAATTCTCAACATTACATTAATTGCAGTTGAATGATTCGTCAACTTTCTATTTTCGGAAGAATTCTGAAAAAACTGACTCGTGAAGACACTATAAATTGGAATGATCATGTGACTTGAATGGAAAGAGAAGGTTCGAAATTGAAACTCTTTTCTGCAGTTTTCAGTGATAAATCGTGCCGTTCTATGCACGTTTGAATGATGAATCCCATTACGAAAAACGAATTTGATAAAATCCTTTCTTGTTGTACCAAATATAGAAGCTTGCCCGACCTAAGGTGATGTCTGACCAAATGCATTTCTTTTCGATCATTTGATCATGAGTCCTGTTCCCATAAAGTGGTTCAGAAAGTTTTCACATTCTCCTAACTCATCATCATGTGCATCCCGGTATTTTTTATAATAGAATAAATACTTTAATGCCTACTTTCACATCAAACAGTTCGGAACGAACCTTCTTTTTTCAGTAATAAATTTTCAGGTGAATATGATTCGAGATTGAAAATGAGATATTAACTGTTTGCATAAATTTTCTCAATCATCTATAAAAGAACGAATCCTTCTCAGATAACCATTCTATAACTCGTCGACTTCCTTACCTGGTTCGGTGTTAGCGGCTCGGTTCTTCACTGATCGGAATGGTATGTAACCTTGCAAATTCGGTGGATTGGTTATGCTTTCCATCTCCTTGATTGGTCGTCATTTCAACGTTTTGAAATGATCCGGAAGCTGTCCTCGTTTGTGTTGACTACTCACAGTTATGGTACAACCTGTACCAATGCCTCGTCTGAATGCTTACTGAAGTTACTTGCCAGTTGCTCTGGGGCAGCTGCATAGCCAGACTGCACGTTCTGGAGTAGATCAGAAGTCATTCATCCTGAATCAGAGGTTCATCCCTCCCATTCATCCTGAGTCAGTCAGAGAAATCACTGAACGCCACAAAATGGATGAGATGAGAAGTCTGATAGCAATTTTATCGAATACGACATTTGTTACTGTCTGATGAAATGATCTCTTGTGAGATTACATGCAGATAGCTAAAGCCGAATGCAAAAACTGCAAGTAATGTATTTTTTGTGAATAGCCACTTGTAATTTCATGTGAATGCAGCAATTACCTTATAGGTCATGCTTTTAATTTCAGAATTCGGTTCATCCAAATCAGATTTTTCGTTCACATTTCAGCTGCGTACTTTACTATCAAAGACGTCCGTTGGACTAAACTCACAAGCTGCAATCGCTAAACTACTGGCCCCATCTGCATCAGCTAACGTTTGCTTACGCACCGATCAACGTAACCTTCACTCACGCAATACAAAATCGCGCAATCAGTCCAAAGCCTCCACCGTTAAATTCGAGCAAACTCGTCATAAGACGTCGTACGGTTAGCCGAATGAATTCTTCATCTTCGCATAAACCTTACAGCAGATTATCGAATGCGGTAAGTTTGCATGTGCCAAAATGTAACTCCATGACAGTTCACCCAATATCAGAATAAACTTGTCATGGCATTAACTATTGGAGCAATGGCAATCTGTAATGCTATGAGACTGGCCAATTGCGATGGATTCATGCTCTTCGTTTCAAAATTATGTCCTGTACACATTTTCATTTATCTGTTTTAGGGTATATTGAACCAGTGAGCGTAAACACTATGAAAATAAAGGTGAGTATGGGCATAAAGCTTTTTTTGAACATCAAATAAACGCGATAAACAGTTGAGTGCGTTCACAAAATCGCTTCGCAATACATCACTTTGACAAGAAACATTCGGACGTAAGAAATTAGTGTCGGTTCAATTTATTTTCATTCAACCGGATAGTGATGATTCCCGTGAATGACTGAACGCGTTGGCAGATTCTGTGCTTATTTAGAATGAAGTGACTCTCGAATCACCTAAATGAATATTATTCACGAAGGTACAGAATCTTGATATCACAGTACTGTAGGTAAATGTTGCGGCTCCACATTTGAATTTGATTTGATCAGAAAAACCCGATTCTGTGATCATTCACTTCAATTGCGTGTGTGTATTGCAGAATGCCTTCATCTTGTCTGGTGCAAGAACTGGATTTGGAACGATGAACAGCGCATTAGCATCTGTAACCGCCCCTAAACTAGGTATCATCGCGGTCAAAGGTGCTCTCGAGAAATCCAGTAAGTTGTGCACTCAAATTCAGGCTTTCAGCGCTCAAAATAAACTTTTCAACTCACTTCTGGTAGCTGGAAAACGCTACTCCACGATTGCGTTGAGCAATTATCTGAACAAATTCGGTGAATTGTTGAACAGATTCCACTGCAAACGTCACAAAAAAAGAAGTTCACAACGCTTATTGAGCCATTCCTTCTGAATTTTTACACTGCATGGATTGTATAATTGCTATTTCTTCGATGATTGGCAATACAAATTGTAGAAATTAAGCCAAAGGATGTGACCAGTGTTTATGCTGGAACTGTCATACAAGCTGGCACTGGCGAAAATATCGCTCGTCAAATTTCCATTGGATCAGGTATGCATTCTTATGGATGAGTGCAAGAAGGTTTTCATATGATCGGTGTTCATATCAACAAAGCATTCCAAAGAAATGAAGTGTCTGGTGTAAGCAGAGCAATGCTTTCAGGTATCCCAACTACGGTACCATGCATGACGTTGAATAAGGCTTGTTCAGCTGGAATGACTGCGCTTATCATTGGCGCACAGCACATTCACATTGGGTATCAGCAATGTATCGTTGGTGTTGCAACTGAGAGTATGAGCAACGCACCTTTCATTCTTCCAAGACACCTGCCAACTGGGGGTCTTATGCTGGAAGTACGTTGAATAATGTCTAGCCCCGAGACCAGAGTTCTCTATTGCTTTGCACTGCAGTTCTATCATTGTTTCGCACAAAAATAGAGCACATCTCTGAGCGAGTTAAGTTATAATTTGCAATTCAGGATACGATTGATAGAGACGGATATTTGGATCCGGTGAAAGGTGTTTCGGTGGCGATGCTGGCTGAGAAAACCGCAAGAGAACTGAAAATTAGCCGCGCTGACCAGGATGCGTGGTCACTTGAGAGCTATAAAAAAGCTTCAAAAGCGTGGAAGGTACCGAAGACACTGACGCTTGTAATTTCAGTTGCTTTAGGAATTTCAATTGATCACTTCTTACCAAATACAATCCAGTTCTACCAATTCTCGAATGCTCAAGATTAGTTCAAGATTCAACAGAAATATTCAGTGGTCACTTGTTTTTTTGAATGGGTAATAGGTTGCCATTCAGTGGAATCTTTGTTACGCAATTTTGCCGAATTGCTCTGTCCTGTCTTCAATTGCTCTCCATCTTATTCTCTTACACAATCCCAATTTTTCAAATTGTTTTATTGTTATGTATCCTCACTTTTTCAAGCTATCATTCGAAGCTATTCCTTTCCCCTCTCCGTTAGTTCTAATCTGCTTTGCTCTCATGCGTCCAGCCCGAATTTTCAAAGCTGTTCTGTTCCGTTCTGTTCTACCGTTCCAGTGTTTCGTTTCATTTGAGCACTCCAAATTTTAACGCTGTTTAATTCTATTCTAGTAGAAGTGAAGTTTATTTCGAACGAGGACATCACTATTTTCAGCTTTTGCTGAAAAATGGGGAAACGAGAATTCTCATTTTCTTGCAGGATGGTCTACTTGACGATGA